TTACTATATATTGGTGCACTTTAAGTATTTTTTTATCAGTCAATTTATATATTTCCGCTTTTATTTTTAATTATGTCAGTTTCGGTCCTCCGTACAGCAGAAGCCTGATAATCACCCATTCATTCAAATCAGGTGTGTTTGAGCAGAGAAAAAACAAAACATGCAGGCTGCAGCCCTCCAGGACCAGGACTGCCCACCCCTGCTTGAACACAACCGTGCAGCAGTCTCCTGCACAGAACCTGCTCCTCAGCCGTCCTCCACTCTGCAGATTACTGATCTGCTTCCTGCTCAGTGGAAGAACAGAAAACTGACCTGTTCCTGGACTTCATCYGTCTCTGACACCTCCCTGCAGAGTTAACAGGTGAATCCATCATAAAAGGCTGTTAGAGTCTGATTTATCATCACCTGCTGCTGAAAGGTGGAGGTGTGCAACAGTGTGTGTGTTACCAAAACACTGGATGAAGACTGATGAACTTTTGAACTCATCTGCTGCAGATCTGTCCTGCCCACAGCCACCAACATCTACAACTCTTTAAGGAAACCAGCATAATGAGTTACAACATTTAATTAATAAAGTATTTCTTTATTGAACTGAAGTCAGCCAGTTTTACACATCAAGTTAAAACTTGTGTTTGCAGCTGATTGTTGTCCTCTGAGCAGGACAGTTTCAGTATTACATGAAATGTTAGGTAATGCTGTTTTCAGGGCAGTCGTTTCTCGTTATAATAASATGTTAGTCTGAAACTGGTGATATTCCTTCAAAGCCTTTATTTATTTTTATCAAGGTGCAAAAMGCCTGAACTCTTCATAAGAGTAGTGATTCTGTTTGGTTTGAATCCTCTCACAGAGAGCAAGGAGTTTAAAATGACTAACATTGTTACAAACTACTAAAGTGTAAGGAAATACGTGTTCAATAACAGCTGAAGTCAGGTGAAAACACAAGTGTTAAATAAAACGATCTGTGGTAAGAAATAATTGCCATACAACATCAGAATTCTGGAGTGAGGGTTTTATTCAGCCATGAACTGGCATGTCAAACCACACACTGGAGTCATAACAGGAAGTCGACCAATAAATACAGGATCTTCAATGCCGAGTTCGCCCCTGCTGGCCTACAGCTGAATCACAGGCATTCATACAGACAGCCCTCAATCTATTGTTAATACAGTTTTAATTATGTGTTGTTATTTTCGGACATGTATCTACGCTATTTCAATTAACACATTGTAAGAAATATAACAAACATTATAAAGGTATTATAAARTAGAAAACCCTAACTCTGTGTTGTATTTAATCAGTACTAACTATAAATTTCTTCAAAAGAATAATCAGTTATCATATTTCTGAGTGTTTAGTTCAGAGATTCTATGAGCCGTGGCCTAATTGTGGGCCGTGAACATTTTTAAAAAGTTTTTGAGGGCCGTGGGACCACATTGATTTTAAAATAAGGTGTAATACACTTTTTCACCACTAGTAGCAGTAGTGCACCACTCAGATGTTTAACAACTTTTTAATATGTAGAAGAAGAACCTTAGAAACCTGCTGAGAATGGAAACTTATTTTAAATGAAAAGTAGAAACAAAAATGAAAGTAACTCATCAAAAAACACCAAAGTTTGTCACTAATATGAAGAGCAGCTTCTGTTTTTACCATGTAATATTTTAAAAGTTCAAAACATTATCAAATACAGTTGCTGATACAACTATATTTTAATTTGTACTTTAAATTAATTTTTGTAATTTATTTTTAAACATTTTGTCAAAAAGCTGTTGTTACTGTTATTGTTTGTCACTAATATGAAGAGCAGCTTCTGGATGTAAAAGTTTAAAAAGGCTTTATTTTCATTTGTACTTTATCAAATTTTTTTTGGAACATTAAATATTTTTGAATGTATTTATTTTATGATTACAATTTTATTTATTGAATTGTCTATTTTTGTTATTGGTTGTATTAAATATATATACAGTATATTTGTGCTGATAAGCCTGAGTGGTCTGTTGACTGACCTTTATATTTGTTCAAATAATAGTTATGGGCAGGTTACAATATAAAAATATTTGTTATAATCATGTCTTGTGATTATTTGACAGGAGTTTTACTTTTAAACTGTACGTGTATTTAATTTAGTTATGTTAGTTATGATAGTTTAGTTATGATGTAAATACAATAAAAATTAAACCAAGATTTATAATAATTATCATTTTGATCCATACATTGGTAATGTCTGACTGGACCTCAGGTCACTTTGTGTTCAATAAACTGGGCCCTGAGGTCAGAAACATTAAGAAGCCCTGGTTTAGTTCCAGTTAAAGCTCCAAACATGAAGCACCTAAAACCCAGCAGCAGGTGGTGTTGTGGTGGTCTGTAGCTGAGGGTGGGTGTGAGCAGGTTTCTGTTTGTCTTCAGGGAATGAGCATCTCTGTCCTGGGCCCCACCTTCAAAGACCTGGCTGAGAACGTGAACAGGAGCATCAGCAACATCTCCTACATCTTCGTCGGCCGCTCTGCGGGCTACATCGGGGGCTCCCTGATAGGAGGCTTTCTGTTTGAGTGGATGAACCCCCACCTGCTGCTGGGTAAGGCCCCGCCTACAGGTGTACACTGCACTCTTCTCTGATTTTATTTATTCAAATCATTTCTTGGACTTGTTCTGGCAGGACTGTCGGTGCTGCTCACTGCGTCTGGGATGTATGCCATCCCTTTCTGTAAGCAGGCGGCACTCCTCACCGGCTTCATGTCCAGCGTTGGGATTTCTATGGGTGCTTTGGATACAGGTGAGACTRCAGGTGACCGGACCAGGACCAGGTGCAGCGCCTGGAAGACCTCATTTTGTAATAACAACACATTATGTAATAATGTAATAAAATCAGGCTTCAAAATGTAATAAACTCACCCGAAAACTACATTATGTAATAATTGACACAAAATGTAATTAAAGTCTTTAACACATTTTATAATACTCGCAGCTGCGTTTTGTAATAACATTATTACATTTTGCAGCTATTATTACAAAATGTGGTGGTGTAATAATCTGGTGCTTTATGTAATAAACATTCAAAAACCAAAACATGGAGCTGAAATGTTTCAGTTGAAATGTGAGTATCTAACCTGCTGTTTTTGAACCGGTACTTGTAAAGATGCAGGTGTGTGTGGTTGTGACTGTAACATGTGTCCTCTGTGTCAGGGGGGAACGTCCTCATCCTGAACACCTGGGGGGAGCAYTCAGGTCCTCACATGCAGGCTCTTCACTTCAGCTTCGCAGCCGGAGCCTTCCTGTCGCCCATCATAGCCAAGCTGCTGTTCGGCTCAGAGAGTGAGGCTGAGACCACCACCTCCTCGWCTCTGAACTCCTCGTCTCTGAACTCGTCTCTGAACTCCTCATCTCTGACCTCCAGGTCTGTGGTCACCGCGGCCCCCCCGGTCATCRTAGAGTCCATGTGGTCCTACATCGTGATCGGCTCCTTCCTCCTCCTCAACTCTGTGTTCTTCTTCGCCCTGTACTGCGGCGGCGGCGGCGCGGCGCGGGACAAGCCCCGCTCGGCGTCAGAGCGGCCCCTGGTGGCCAGACACCACACGGTGCTGGTGGTGATGCTCTTCTTCTTCTTCTTCGCCTACGTGGGGGCAGAGGTGGCGTACGGCTCCTTCATCTTCACCTACGCCAAGGACCACGCCCACATGTCCCCGCCCGAGGCCGCGGGGCTGAACTCGCTGTTCTGGGGGGCGTTCGCCGCCGCTCGGGGGCTGGCCATCTGTTTTGCGGCCTGCCTGCACCCGGGCACCATGATCGTGCTGTGCCTGGTGGGCTCCGTGGTCTCCTCTCTGCTCCTCAGCCTCTTCAGCAGGAGGACCGTGGCTCTGTGGGTCTGCAGCGGACTCTACGGGGCCTCCATGGCCACCACCTTCCCCAGCGGCATCTCCTGGCTGGAGCAGTACACCACGGTGACGGGCCACACGGCGGCGGCCTTCGTGGTGGGCGCAGGTCTGGGTGAGATGGTGCTGCCGGCGCTGGTGGGCTTCCTGCTGGGCAGGTTCCCCCAGCAGCCCCTGCTGATGTACCTGTCCCTCATCACCGCCGCCTTCACCTCCATCCTCTTCCCCTTCATGTACCGGCTGGCCTCAGCGCCCGGCAGCCCCACGGACGACGGCGAGTCCAGGCAGGCCCTGCTGGACTCAGGGACCACCGAGGAAGAGGAGGATGAAGTTGAGCGGTGGAACAACGCAGACTTTGAGCTGATAGAAATGGACGAAGCGTCCAACGAGACGCCGTCTCCTCCTGCAGCCTCCAGCAGCCGGACCCTGGAGGCTGCAGGACCACACCTGGGTCCTGTGGTCCAGGACTCTCCCTGACCCAACCTGCTGTCTGTGAAGAGACAGAAAACAGACTGAGACCTCAACCTGCCTGCAGCTGAGACCACCTGAACCCACCTTAGACCTGCAGGTCTACAAACCCCTCAGATCTAAAACTGATCCACATCTGCCTTGTTTCATTTTAAAGTGGACTCTGTGGTCTGGTTCTGAGCCCAGCTAGTTCCCACTCCAAGTCTCAGAAAGCACAAATCCCAGGGCTTAGAGTTCAGTGCCTTGCTCATGAGCAGAACAGTCTTCATCCTACCAGCCACATCTGTTTGTTTTGTGACTGTTTTTGTCTCGAACATGTTCAGAATAASTCTGACTCAGTGAAAAGTTGACATGAAGTTTTTATTAAATCAGACTTTAATCCTCAGACACAACAATCAAAACCACGTTTGTCCTGTTTGTGTTTTTATACAAGTTTGTCTGCACACAGTTTCACACTGTGTGCAGACAAACTGCACACAGTGTGAAACTGTGTGCAGTTTGTCTGCAGCACTGAAAAGCAGCTGCAGTTTGTCTGTAAAACACTGTCAAATGGACATAAAGCCATACAAGTAAAAACACTCTGCATAAATTATTCTAGTATTGCAACTGTCCCAGATTGTATAAAACTGAACGGCTCTCCGGTCCTCTTAATGCGTCACATTCACTCTGAACCAACGTCTAAAACCAAGGATCAGCTGCAGGTTTAATGCTGCCACAGTGACCTGGAGCTGAAACACACTGTAGTGGTTTGAAGCTTCGTCTCAGACACGACTCGTCACCTTACAGGACAGAGAAACCACCAGGTTCGGTCAAAGCACCATGAAGACCACAGTCCAGGAGCCAATCAGAACTGGTCCAGCAGCAGTCTGAGGTAGGGGGCCCTGGAGAGCTGTCTGTTGACCCGGGACAGCTTGTAGAGGACAGGACAGTCCAGGGACACACAGGAGACCTGCCGCTCCGCACAGCCGCTACAGTTCCTGCAGATCTGAACACAAACACACCTGTCAGTCAGGAGGACCACCTGCAGATCCCCCGTTCAGCCAAGATGAGACAGAAACTTCAGAATCACWAGCTGCRTTTCCATTSACCATGAAAATGCGCAAATTAGAATTTCAAAAATAAATTTGCACAATGGAAACACGCCAATTAAAAAAATTACRTTTTTCGACAAAATGTTTTTGCACTAGGATGAGGTGGTTTTTCTGCCGTATCGAAATTGGTGTTTTTCACAAAACTGCAGTGGAGTTCCTACAGCTTAATGAAAGTTACATTTAAGACCTCTTTAATGTCACTTGAAATTAAATTTAAGACCAAATTCACAATAAACACAAATGCAGAAAAAAACAGTGACAATTTTACACAAATGTTTATTTTAAAACTACAGAGCTCGAGAGGGGACACGGGGATTTTTTTTCTTTTGTGTTCCCTCGCAATACCTTTGCGTTCCCACGCAATACTTCTGCGTTCCCTCGCAATACC